TACAAAACTGCTTGTTCTGAGTAGACATCATAAACAGGGTCACTTGTTGATGGTCGCAGGACAACGAGGGGCTGCAGCCCCTGAGGGTCTGCTTTGTCAAAGGTAAAAGTTTTATGGAAAGGAACTAGTTTTGTTTCTTTTAGTTCTTTCTATTTTAGTTCCTGGAATCTCCTAAGATGCTAAACTTTCTGTTTGCTTCCTATGTATAAAACATTTTGAAGAAAGCACTCCTGACATCTTAAGGAAAGGAGAACAGAGAGAGAATGGTGAGTAGAATAATTATTAGTTTGGGTTCCTTTTTAAGAAATCTGTTCAGAATGGTGGACAAATTAGACTTGTGAGTTTTCTGTCAAAATTCAGAAATACTAAAGGGTAGCAGTAAGTGTTTTTCCTCTTAAGAGGGATTGAACATTGTTAGTTTCTTGACTTGTTTTTATGCTTGGAAACAACTGGTGACGACCTGGTATTATTCTTTGGGTTAAACCTTCTTTTCTTTGTCCGTATGATCCGACAGAAGACAGGCTCCAAAGAAATTGCTGGTTTTGTACTATTTGGATCCCAGGCTCCTAGCCTCTTCGGTTCCCCAGGAAAAAGTTGTGTTTCAAATCATGAAATAACTGTATTTAGACAGCTGCCTGTTCAACATTTTCTCAATTTTCACTTGAATAAACTTACAAACCCAATCACCTCAACATCCAGGTTATGATATGAAATATGGTCTCATTAGGGACTGGCCCTAGTTTCGCTTTCTGTGATGTCAGAAACAGCTGGTGTGGTAGCGTTTCATTGTTTTCTTCATCTCGGGATACGTTAATACTTCCACAGATGGCACAGAATCTTAGTGAAGGTTGCAGCAACCTGGAGTTTACCTGTAAACATAAGGCACATGCAGGACTAGAGCACAGGACTGCCCCCTCTCTCTCCCATAGAAAGCCATTGCATTGTGGGACAATGGAGAAACAAACAGTTTAAGAACAGCCAAATAAAGCCTAGCTGGCATACATTTATAAAGTGTGAGGTGACTGGAGCCCCAAGAGAAAAAAAAGAGTACATGCAGGCTCCATGTAAAGTAGATGGCATCCCAGTGCAGCACTGAACCCAAAGGCCAAGAGCTCTGAGGCAACAGCACTAACTGCTACCCCACCCTGAATTTTCTAACTCAGAAGGGGACACACAAAGCTAAATGGTTTAGTGAGTTTTCTCAGCATTAAATCTTTGTTAATTGGATTCTGTCATTTTCCTACCCCAAAGACGCATGAAAAAAGGAACATATTTCGGAGAGGTTTAGAAGATAAAATGTTTAATATGCTTATAATAAAACCCCTTGATCTGAACTTACTCTGCTCATCAAAATGAAAATTATTGCTCACTTATTTATTTTGTCTGTCCAATGGAAGAAATTGGAAAGAACTTTCAGCTTTGTATTGGGAGAGTCGAAACAGATCACGATTTAATTTTGGGACCATAAGGTATCTTCACATGCCTTCACATATCTTCAGTTTAGAATAATTTTTCTAACATTTTTTATAGATGCAATGGTTTAGAAGTAAAATACACATAGCATGTTCAACTTTTTGTCTTTCGTCATATCATTTACAATTGCACTTTTTAGAACTACTTTATGCAAGTTGGGGAGAGTTAAATTCAGGAATATATGTTCTTAGTCAAATCTGTACTAGTTTGGTCATTATAGAAAAACAAAATACAGTTATATTCACACAAATATTATTTCATTTTCATTAAAAAAAATTAATCCAGGCCTTAATAGTGAGCATACATTTTATCCATGTTAAACAGCATTTGCTAAACCATCCTGACTGAAATTGGAGAGAAAATGTTAAAAATGTAATCCTTTCCATGATATAAATTCAGCATCATATACAGGTAAGCCATTTTCTTGTGAGTGCTTTTTAACTAGCATCTAGAAGCATGATACACTGTATCTGTCTTTTGTTAAAAGAGAATTGTATTTGTGGAAATAAATATTCTGCTGGACAGGATGGGTTCACTGGAACTTTATTTTTTTTAAATAGACAATCAAACAAAACAGTTCCAAAATACATCGACACAACGTGTATTTTTTTTTGTGTACAGAGCTAAATATAAATTCTAAAGACAGATGACAGCCCTTCAGCATGTTGGATTATACTGGAACAGAAGCAGACAGTTCAGTTCTCACAAGAAACAGATGAACTCCCAAAGATGGGAATGGTCGATATGACACATAAGCTCCCTCCCATAAAAACAAGGTTGAGTTATTGGTGCTGAATAAGTAGGAATGAACAAATCCATGTCCTTAACATTCTCTTGTGAAGGAGAAGATTAGCAATGTGTAGAGTGTTCTACATCTTTGCGAAGAAGAGTTTTTCCTCATTTTAGAGATTTTTTATGCTCTTAGGTTCTGAGATTACTTGTACTTTGGCACTGGCCAGTCTGATGACTGAACAGACTCTGCTACTTTCACATATCCAGGACAAGAACAATAACTAACAGACATCACCTTGGGTCGAGTGTGGTTATAACAACTGATCTCTGGCAAACATAAACCACCTATTCTAAAAAAATACTGTCTTTAGATAATAAGCTTCACAAAACCAGTTTCACATGAGAATGAGAGCCATTGAACCAGATCAGGTGATTTGTACTTGTCGTCCAGCATAACTGCATTTTATTACAGTATATTCAGACGATTCCTTATCACAGGTCGTGAAATATTGTCTTTTCAACTGAGCTGTAGGAATTTGACCCTCTGGCTAGAGCACACTTGATTACACAGAGCATGAGGTGTTCAACTTAGGAGGTGTTTCCAGACGGACAATTTCTCCAAACAAAAATATATCGCAAAACCAAAATAAGGGAGATTATTGCTTGAAATACAATGACGATTTCTATACACATATTTACTTCTGTAAAGTGTCTGAAAAACATTGACAGTGCTTTAGAAGTGCAGAAGGCCTGCCTTGACAATGAAAAATACTGTGTTACCACCATCATCAGTGATCAGTGCTGATTCGCGCAGGGTTAGTCATTGAAAGATGACAAAAGCCGCTCAAAAAGACCCCTTTACTGTGAATACTCGGGAATGTGCCTGCTCATCTGAACTGTGAACTGGGCACTGAATTCAGGGTGAAAAAGCATTTTAGCTTGGAAATGAGTAGAAGACCAGGGCCACTAAAAGCACTGGTCACAAAAACAGAGCAGATCACTTGATGTGTAAGAGTGCAGTATCTTTATCAAAGCGATGACTCCCTTGGCCAGCACTTAACAAAAAAGCCACAGAAATCAGGCATTAAAATTTTGCTACGGTAATGGTGTTGCTAAATTATTGCAGGACAGCTAGACAGTAGAATAAGTAATATCTGTCACTCAGTCTGACTAGCGGCATGAATAGTGAGCAGCTCCTTAGTATTGCATATACAAGGAAAACTAATTAAAATTTGGATATTTTATTAAGACGCAGATGATTTACCCCATACATGAATTGAGCAGTAGGCAGAAAGGTGCCAGAGCTACTCCTATGAGGACAGGGCACACAGATGAGTAGCTCAGCACTCTTTCTGAGTGGGACCAGAAAGAGACTGGAGCCTTGGTTAACAGATATCTGCTCCACACTCTAAAGAACCTTCTCAGACCAAATGACATAAGAAAGTCAAACATAAAGCTGATAATACAATGGAAAAACATTAAAAAATAAGTGAAGGTTTAATGTTGTCAATTTCTCTCAGATAAGTAGAATTTTACTTCTAGTCAATTAAAAGAAAATGACCCTGACAATGGGTCTACTGAATTCTAGCCATGAGTATATCTGCAACAAGACACAATTGTTAATTATTTTAAATTTTCACAGAAGGCTGAGAAAGCAGCTTATATAGCTCTGCTTAAGATGTGAGCAGCAGGTCAGTAGATTCTGTAGATTGTAATTGATGATTACTTATCTGCAAACCCTTGAAGTCATCTGAACTGATACATTAGTTCTACTGTTGCCTTCAGCAACACTCCAGAGGCAACAATCATACCTCGAAACTCTTCATTGCAGTCTTCGTTTTCTTGGCACACTGAAGAAAAAGCCATGTATGCTACTACTTTACAGTCCTCAGGAATTATGGAACATTCCATGTGCTGTGCCGTGTTCTTTAAACTGGGTGGACTGCTCCTGTTGGGCATATCACTTTGGTAGGAGGGAGTATAAATATAAATGTCCAGAATCACATTGTCCTGGGAATTACAGAAGCTTTGGGTAACGAAGTTGTTGGGAATGTCACAGTGCTGAAACAGTCTGACCTCGTTCACTTGTGCAGTTCATTACTGCTTCACTCCAGTTTCACCAGCTTGTGATTTTGGAGGCCCTCTATGGAGACAGGTCTGACTAAGCAGAAATTCCACAGTGATATCAATTAGAGCTCATGGTCTGGAAAGACAATTTGTAGCTGTCTGGTCCAGAATTTGAAAAATGTTTCTGTCCTAGGGTCAAGCTGAGATAATCTGAAAGAACAGAGTGATTTGTTTAAAGCTATGTGCACCACCGAAAAGTTCTGTTTATCTTTTTTCAAACTCCAGAGTTTCTCCAGATGTTCTCCAGTCTTTCAAATTTACGTGAGAGAAAAAAATCCAACTCCAAGATGTCATGTGCTATACTACGTTATCTACGTTAACTTTCAGAAAAGGAGTGAGATATATACAGTATGTATTTTAGTTTGCACTAATCCTTTATAGCTTTCTAGGTTGCATTTATCATTTTATAACAAACATCATCATAATCATTCCTAAAATCTTCTTAAGGACAGGTTGCTGAGAGAGACCCTCACTCTTCCCTTGCAAACAAACATACCTAAACAAGCAATTAAAAATGAATATCAGTATAGAACCCAAACCAGACCCATTAAACTTTACTTTGTTTCATACACTATGCAATCCTATAGTTCCTATCCATAATCTTCTATTGCTAAAATAATTATAATAATTAATTATGATTCCTTACACTATATGACAATACAATTGGTTTTATCAAATTGCTTCATGAAAAGAACAGATTTTCCTTTATACTTATATGTGTGAGCTTTGCCTGGCATCCTGAGTGAAAATCACTACATATTGCCACTACACTATAGACAAATTAGCTCCATTTGCATTATTCTATCATTTTTATACTGTATGTGCCTTCACTTAGATAGAGGGCACACATGGCTTAGTCAGTTCTAGTATATCATTCTGTTAGTTTCTGGTGCCTCTGTGCATTGAGAGCTGATAAATGAAGGAATGCCTCTGTGAGGATAATTCATCATAGTGTAATGGACTGGGTGAGTTACATCAATGTAACTCTAGAGTCTCATTGTTCCTGAGCTGGGGTTAATGAATGGCAGTAACATAACAATACCATTATTAGGTCATGTGGCTACCTATAAGTTTGTTTGTTAAATCTGTCCATTGAACTTTGGGAATAAAAAGTGAGAAATAGTTCATATCACATGTGTGATTTAGACTGTTTTATTCAGCAATTTTAAAAACACATAACTAAATCAACAGCAATATAAATGATTAAATCAAATTGATGCTAATGGAATATCTGGCAGGATAAAATTTGAAAACAGAAACAATCAGCAGAGGAAATCCCTTAAAAATGACCATAACTTTTTCAGGTTCAATAATGTAAAAATGCCTCATGTATTACTGTTTTTATACACAATAGCTATGGAGTAAAGTTGACGGATTGGCGCCAGCTGGGCCTAAGATACTAGTTGTGCTATGGAGAAACTGCAGGTATGACCTTTCTCATAGGACAACCGTGGCCTCTGCTACACGAGTGTCTATTGGGAGGGATAAAAGCCGAGAGCTGAGTAATTGTTAGTTTGATGCAATTGCTATTTGGCTGTGGTGTTTCTCAGAATAAATAGTATTCTGTCTCTTAAAGGAACTCCATCCATCCAATTTGTAACCAAAACAGGGTAGCAGGGGAGCCAGGGCCTATCCTGGCAAGCAACGGGCACAAGGCAGGATACACCCTGGACAGGACAATCCATCACAGGGCAGACAGATATATAACACAGACACATACTCACACCAAGGCAGTTTTCCCAGAAGGCAAATAACCTACCATAATGTATTTGGAATATGAAAAAAACAGCACCCAGGGTAAACCCAAACAAACTCAGGGAGAACCTATAAACTCAATAGCACCTCAGGTCTGGAGCTGAATCCAGGGTCCCAGCACTGTAAGACAGTAAAGCTATCCACTGCACCTTGCTTTTAAAGGAATTTTAGTGACAACAGGGGAGAAATAAAATACATTGCTAAGCATCTCCTGTGTCTTTAACCTTAATGATATAGTTCTGTAGCTTTATTTGCTTCTGATTTAGCTGTAGATTACCTTATCGTTCAGGAATCCATATACTGTATATAGTAATTTCACAGTTATATAAAAACGTATGCAGATACAAATGAGAGGAGGTTATCATACTTATTATGACCCACAACTTCACTTCACTGACAGCACGGTGAGACTCCTTGAAACCTGTTCATAAACATGCCTCCTGTTCTCTTTTTCAAAAGCTCTTTTACTATTTCCATTCATATCCTCTGATTTGTGTTCTACTGTTCATGCTGAAGTAGTTCACTGCATTGACTTTTTCGGAGCCTTTGAGGGTTTTGGATACTGGGATCAGGTCCCCTCGTAATCGTCTCCGTTCAAGACTAAGAGGATTCAGTTCCTTAAGCCTGTCATGTAGGACATTCCCTCATGTCCAGGAATGTGTCCTAATGCTCTTCTCTGGACTGATTCTAGAGAAACAACATTGTTTATGTAATGCAGTGAACAGAAGTGAAAGACATGTCAGAATGTCTTGCAAGACATTCAAAACCTGAGTTTATAATGACTGCTAAAACCCAGCACTCATATCAAGCTTATAGACTCCTTACAACAACAGAACAGGGTTACACTTAGCACAGTGCAAGCACAAAACACACAACACTAGATTACAATGTTGTGGGAGTTACACCTATACATTGCTAAACACGTATCAAGTGCCGAGTTTGACCATCAGGTTCTGCTGTGCGGAGTTTAAAACGGATTTTCATAAATACAATTTAACCATAGAATAAAACATAAAGAACACTTGAAGGACAGGACAGATGCAGTGACGTGTTTTGGTTCACTTTTAAACAGTGTCAGTTTCACTGGGAGGGGGAGAAAGGAGATATTGCATTGATATTGGATATGACAGTGTTGTCTTTATATCTCATCATAAAACACAGTAAAACCACCTTAATGGTGTGGTTGTTAAAACTATCATGGTTGATAAAAACAGATATTTAACAGAAGTTTGTGTCTGATACCTTTTTGCTTCTGGGTAATTCGGAAAAACAGGATTTCTTAAATAGGAGATACAAATCTCAGCAGAATATATGGTACCTACTGCCGTGATTCATCTGTTCATCTACCAAGTCTTTAACGATTGTGCACCAGGAGTCTCCTGAATGTTTTTAACAATTTTGCTGCACTGTCGTGTCTGTTTTCTAGCACAGCAGTTTGAGATTCTGGTCAATGAGGATCCTGTATTTTTTGGCTTTCATTCCACACCTTAACTTTGGGGGATAATTGAGCTCTGTTTCCTTTTAAAGTAAGCAGAAGACAAACCTAGCAGAGCTTTCCTGTATTTCTTGACAAGAGCACTTCTGCAGCAGACATTTTTTTTTCAAGGACCAGTTGCTGAAAGGGGTTTGAACAAGTTCAAGCAAGCAGCTCTATTCAATCAATTAACCGAAGCAATTAAAAACATATTTGGTTTAAAGCCAGAAGAGACAGGGCCAGGACCATAGCTGAGAAACACAATATATTTCCAAATACTAATATAAAAAAACACATTTTATGGGTTGCTGATTTGGGATTTTGCATAACTAGATTGCTGGGAATTGTCTTCTTTAAATGTATGAAAAGCCCAAGATCTTCATTTTCTGGAGGGGGGGGGGTACCTACAGTCGTTTCTGACTCATTCCTGGCCCTCAAACATCTATCACCCACGAAATAAAGTGGCACCAGCTTCCTTTAAAATCCTGGGGAGCAACCTGCTAGGAGCACACCTAGGGTGTTTCTTTTTTTAATGATTTTACTTCAATAACATAGCATTTAAAATGATTCCATGTCAAGGATAAACTCAAGAGAAAACCCTAATGTTGAGATCCCTTGTTTGGGCTTTTCCCTGGCCCCGTCTGGACTATTATACAAGCTTCCCTAATCAAAGTATGATTTGACTGGCAAGCAGATCCTCTGCAGTCGTGAAGCAGCAAGCAGTATAACGATTTCTAATTGAACTCAAAATCAATGACTTGAATTAAGAAGCAGACTGCCATTTTATCAGCTACTGGAAGTGACTAATAACACACAGTAATAAGTGACATTATTACAGTTATGATTAAAAACTGCCATGTGGAGTTCCAGAGTGGGTGCCTGCTGTGTCACGAGTGGGGATATAGTTTGACCTGCAGCCAGAGCTGAAGATCATCCTGATTCTGTCCTCCCTCAGGATTGGCAGGATGGGTGCTGTCCTGGGTGCCCCTTCAGAGGCACTGCAGCCCAGATCACTGTAGACCTCCCATTTGGGTCACAAGCAGAGGGTCCACCTAAATAGCACAACAATGGAAAAGTTATGAAAGGAACTAATCTTTTCTCCATTTTCTCTAGTTGTTTTCCCTTTTATATATACCAATTATAGAGCCAGTAACTGTCCATCAACTTGGCTTTATGGCTACAAATCTCATAGGCACTTGCCTACCTGATGGAGTCTTTCATTATCTGGCATCCTACAATCTCCACAGTGCTTTACAGGAAAGTAAACGCTGTCTTGGTTCTTAGGCACCTGGTGAATCACTGTTGTTCCCAAACCTGACCTGACTCTGGTGGTACCTTGTGTGAGTTGGGTGCCTCAGCTAAATTAATCCAGATCACTGTCAGACAGCGGTACGAGATAGCCTAGGCTCAAACCTGTAATGTATGGACCAGGGGACTTTTATTTTGCACAGCTAAAATATGTGTTGTATGGCATGGAATTGGATTTGTAAAGTGGTGGGATTACCTTGCCACTCAGTGGGTCTGATTTGTCCACGTCAGTCCACAGAACTCGTGGAGCGGGCACAGCAGGCTGGGCTTTTTAGAGAGCCCATTACACTTCCCCTCTTCCTCCTCTGGCTACTTTTCTGGGTGCTGTTGGTGTCTGTGCGGGAAAGTCTTGAAGCACGGCTAGCCGTTTCCTTGATCTGCAGCTCTAGATGTTTCTGGATAGCCAATCCCAGCACTTCCGGGTCCACTGAAGCCCCATACACATCCCATGTCATCCCTTCTGCATCCCACACCACTTCCTTCACTGGGGACTTCTGCCCAGAAGCTGCAGCCTTCTCCTCCTGTAGGCTAACCTCGGGGAACACATGTGGGGGAGGCGACTCTGGAGGGCCCGTCTGCACCCCTACGTCTCTCAGCTCACTGGGTAAGGTCATTGTTCCCATCTCTCTGGTCTTCCTGCATGCTTCTTGCTGTACTTGTCCGCCGCTAGTGAAGGCTATCTCCTGGTCCCGACCGTCAAGACTACAGCAGTGTACCATGCGTTTGGCATCCAGCCCTGTCTCACTGACAGAGGAGACCAGCCTGGGGAAGCTGAGGTTGGCGGGATGGGCAGGGTGCCGCTGTCTGCTGCACTCGCTAACTGAGCTCACCAGCCGCGGGAGCAGCTGGGCTGGGGTGGGGATAGGGAGAGAGTGGCAGAAGGCAGCAAAGGTGTCCTCCGATCCCCCAGGAGTTACTGAGTGGCCAAAACAAACATCCCCACAAGCTGCATGTCTTGATTTGCTGTCCCTGCTGGTGTGTGAGGGGCTGGGCACACATATCCTCACGCTCTGCTGAGCAGAGCTGTTGCTGCTGCTCGTGTGGCAGGTAGTCAGTGTGTTGTTCTGTCGCAGCTGCATGGCTTGTTTGCACACGAGCGATGGGCAGCCTGGGCTTTCTGTGCTGCACAAGCCCAGCCCGGCACATGCAAAGCTGGTCTCACTGCAAGCCATCAGCTGCCCGGGACAGTGGCTCTCCTTGAGCACATGCAGGCTGTCTGAATGGCTCCTCTGGACTGCTTGTTTGATCACCCCCAGCCTTTCTGTGCAGAGGTCCCTGTGAGGGGCGGTAGTGTGGTTCTCCTGTACTGTCACTGTAGGAGCTCTGTATGGCTCTTTGTCCAAACAGTGGTGATAGTTCACAGTTACTCCAATGGTCTCTGCTTCTCTTGGAGTTGACTGGGAGTTGTGTGTTTCCATGACACTTTGTGGATGGGCTGCAGCAAAAACATTTCCTGGCGCCCTCTCTCCTGCTGTCTGTGTGCCTCTTTCCCAGTTGCCCCGAGATGTCCCGTGGTAGTTGGCTTCGGGCATTTGCAGGTGGCACACAGCAGTACTCAGGCTCTTCCGGAGGTCCAGCTTGTTCCTAGCCAACTCCTCCTGGCACAGTGGAGTCTGAGCAACTTCCGAAGAGCTCTTGGAGAGTGGGTAGAAGGGGGGTCCCAGGGCATCCCATGTGCATCCTGAACCTGACAGGCAGTCAGAGGGACAGTGGTCCGATAAGCGTCGCTTGCTTGAATCCATGAGGGAGGCCTGCAGAGAAAGTTTCAGACAAAACATTTTAAACATTTTTTAACATTTTTTATGACATAAAACACTGTATTGACATATTGACATTGGGCCTTCAGAAGAGAAATTTACTGAATTAAAAAATGGAAGAGGGAAACTCACTGGAGACATGTGTGGTAAGGATCCGCATGAGTGAGAAATTGAGCATGAGTAATATTTTGTATATTTAATTTTGAGAAAAATCAGCTGTGCCACTAAAAATAAAATTGAAACTTGGCAATTACTGAACCTTTTTGTCTTGACCAGAAAAGATTTCAAGGGGACCTTATCGAAGCATTTAAAATCTTCAAAGGCTCTGAGAAAGTCTACTCCGTGGACGTCTTCAGAAGCAACAGTGAAATATGAAGAAGGGACATAAGAGAAAACTAAATGGTATATTGAAAAATGATTCATGCTTATTTTATACACAGGGTTGTGAGTGTGTGGAGCAGACCCCCACCATGATGTTGAAGTTTCTTTCTTTAAGCTGGATGAGATCTTCAGCTCACCTTGTTACCAGCAGCACAACGAGACAGACGGGCCAAATGGCTTCCTCTCATTACTAAGATAAATGTCCTTATGTGAAATGCTTCTTTGTCTGTTGCTTGTCAGTTGGCTTTTTGCAGAAGAAAAGTGTAGGAAGATGTCCTGTGTGTTATGCACAGCTCATCTTGAGAAGGTTTTGGCTGCTGATCCACAGGATCCTTAGAAAAATGTTGGCGAGCTTGATTTCAAATCATATTAGGCTATACAGGTGGTTGCTCTCTGGAGCTGCCCTGAATTAGCATGTTGTAAGCTAATTTAATTTCACAGCAGGGAGCTCAACAGAACACATTGTTTCCTGTTAATAAATAATCATTACTTCTTAGAAAGAGGAAAATCAGAAACATAATTTTGCAGACATGACGTTCGGAGTATTTATGGATAAGCAGGGAGCATTCATCTGCTATTAAGACATGATGTGACCTGAGGACATCTCCCTTCACCAAACCCACAACCTGATGCATCAATGTGTTCCAGTTTTCTCTTTACCACTCCAGGTTTTTGATTCAATCAGAACATACAGGTCTATTTTAAACTGCTACAGCAGTATATTTAGTGTAAAACATGTGCACATCCTTAGTTTATTATAACAGCTAGGCAATCGATGAGAGCCAGGCATGCAATGGAGAGGAACATGGATATTAGAAAAGTTTAAATGGTTTAGTACCCATTTCATCCTGCACACAGTTTTACTAAGTTCCTTTTCTCTTCCCTGCCCTCTGGGAAGCACTGTAGGAGCATAAAGACAAATACTGTATCCCCAGATTCAGAGACAACTCTGTCCCACACTCATACCTTTCTTCTACATTGCTTGTGCTGACTTTTACTTAAATTGAGCGTTATATAACTTTGTTGTTGTTGCTACTGTCCCATGTTTAAGTTTGGTGTTTCCTTAATGTCGTTGTATTGCACTTAAGCATATGACAAATAAACTGATGGGTCAATGCTGTACTGATGGTTCAATGTTGACCCATCAGTACTTGCTGCAGGGCACTGCACTGGAAGCTGTTATACAGGAAAAACAGTGCTGTGCTCTCCTGAGTAAGTATTCTGGAATTTGAAGGGTTTTGCTTACTAACTGAATACATGAAACGTCCAAAGGTATGTGATATACAAAAAGCATTCCCCAAAGACAATACCTGCTTTCTATGTTCTTCACTCATTCTTCCAGATTATTTGATATCTGCTTCCTGTAATTTAGTCTAATAGTCTAATTCACAAATAGGACATAACAAAATGCTCTTAATTGTTTAATTAATGTTACAAGCAAGCCAAGTGGATTTGTGTTCGTTTGTACTGTAGTAAAAGGTATGAAACATCAGTTGGATGTCACAATGCACAATCTGCATCTCAAAAATAGTTTCCTTCATTATTTTGTGCCAAGTTACTTCCAAGAAAAGGTAGGGCAAACATTTTCCTTCCCTGTTCCTGTGGGAGTGCTGTCTCTTCTGGAGTTTTCTGAAGCTGACTTCTTAAGGAATTTATTTCAATTTTCTATTTGGGGCATATTTATAAATTTGCTTTCAGTTTTTGAAAGACCAGAAAAATCGAATGGGAGTTTTGGAACTGCCCTTACTCGAGTGCGAGAGGACTTGACCTTTTTGTAGAAGAAGAACATCTCGTCATGAACATCTCGTCATCTCGTCTGTGTCTGTTCATTTTAAACTGGTTGCCAATTAAGAGCTGTTTAGTCAGACATTAGGAAAAGCAAATTGAGGAGAAGTCACTTAAAAGTTCTAGATGTAGAGGTTATAGGAAACAATAAACTAGAAGCTGGGTGTTTTAAAATTTAAGAGTCAGTGCAGAAACAAATAAACCAAGAATCTAAACAAGCAATCAAATCACTGAAAGGCATTAATACGCACTGGTGATTCAGGACCTGTTGGGTGCACATGAGCTCTACTGAACCACCAAGAGTGTTGATGCAGTGGTAGCTACAGTATATATATCCCAAGATGCCCTAAACCCAGGTGGGTCTCCCTCATTGATATGGTTCAGACAGATGTTTGTGTTAGGAAGTGTTAGCATTGCATGTGCAGGCTCACTGAAAGCCAAAAGTAAGGAGAATTCTAATATGGGGTGACTGTATTTAACTGAGGGGTTCAGAAGCAAAGATATGGTATAGAGCTGGTTTTTCAGCATCAAACCCTTACAGATCTTTAAACCTTCTGATAGACTAAGTGATTCTTAATTTCTAAATTGACCTAGGTGTTGAAAATACTTTTGATCATTTTAGATTATTTTAGATTAGATTATACAAAGAATTGCAATGGAATGGAGTTAGCTATTACAGACTCTTACCCTGGGACCTGCTTAGGTCTATGCTCAAGCAGAAAGACAGATAGATTTGTCTTTCTGCACCATCACATCATTGGGTGTGATGTAGATGTGGTTCTACAGTAAGATGAAAGGAATGAGCTCAGAACAAAGTGAGAGACAAGAACAGAAGAAAAGCTCATATCATGTTCTTGTGCATTTAGTCCCAAAGCAGCGTTCTTTTCTCACTCTTGCTGTACAGGTTTATTCAGAGAAATGTACCCAGGACTTAGGGTGGCCAACAAGCTCACGAAAAAACAGCACAGAATTACAGAAAACTACTCTGAGGCTGAAAACAATAACTACCACACAATGCCAAACCGATAATTAAATCCCGATACATCCTGACAATAATATAACTATTGAAAACAAGTTTAGTACTATATATATAATCAGCATCACCACCAATACTTATTTTTTGTAATTGAATATTTCTTTCATGTCTCTTTATTTAATTTCACCCTTTGTGATAAACTGTTCACAGGTTCTGTAACTGATTAGACTAAACACAGCTGTTCAATAAGCACTGCATGGCACTGAAGAGTCATTGCAAATGGGTTGCTGTTCTGTTGATAATAAAATGCAAATTTTAAATACTAGCAACTGAAAGTAATGTGAAGATGCAGTTTAGTTCCTGAATCACAGTAAATCAGGTAGTATCATGATCATACAATTGAGTAATGATGAATATTCAGTAAAAATCTAACTTGCGGTTTAGTTGTGAAGGATCCTGTGATCCTAGAACTGTTTTACTGTTTTGTGTACTCCTGGCCGGCTGAGGTTTCTTCAAGGTCCAGAGTGGAGATGTAAATGTGATTTAGCAATATGAAAGGAATAGGGTCGTAGCTGGTTAGGGTTTTCTTTCATTCCCCAAGACTGACATAACCGCCTAACTTTCTGACTTTGTTTACACCTCATATGGTAAGAAACTGCTACTGACAAATCATAAATGTATGTTTTTGTATGAAACTTTTGCTCATCTTCAAGAATAAAAGCCTGTTGCTGTCCTTATGAAAGTGAGTGAGAGATTCGTTTTTTTCCTTTCTTTATTGCAATAAAACAATCTCTTGCTTGATTTACCAGAGTTGTTTGGTTTTCTGAGAAAAGGGTCTAGCAGTTGCTGATGACTTTCAGTCTCAGACGAACGGCACAATTCCACTTTGCTCAAGGGGTCCAGTTCTTCTGCAGCATCTGACTGGGGTTGAGTGCTGGGTCTTCAGAGCAGGAGGGAGTTTTCAAGATAAGTGAGCTTTTTTCTTTGCCTTAATATTCATGCCTTCTATGGACTGAGGTATTTTTGCCTTGTGTTTTTTGGGGAGGATATTAGTGGCAGCTGTGATTTTAAGCTGCTTTCAGACCCAAGCCTTTTTAAGTAAATCCTTTTTTGCTGTTTTTTTTAAAAATCTGAGTTAGTGGTAGTCTTTTTTTTCCCTAGCAGCCTAACCTGGATTCAGCTGTAACTATGGAACATCATAGTGGAAACCTTGGAACTATGGTTCCTTCGTCCTTTTCTTGGGATTATTTTAAACCTTCTTTTCATGATCACTGTTAAATGTTTAGCATTCCTTTCACTGCATTCTCTCTTTTGTTGTACTGTATGTCTGAGTCTGCAAGCTTAAAAAGTAGTTTATTTTTTTTTTTAGTATATCCGAAGACAAAATTGCCCTGAAGATTGAGATGAACCTCTGGGGGGCATTGTGATAAGTTAAACACTGTAATTTCTGTATGCCTGTTTTGGTTTAGGGGGGTCCAATCTTGGTTCTGGCAGCCAAAACACCTGCTGCTTTTTTAGCAGTGCTTAATTACCTATTTGAACTGACAAGCTGCTTTATTGGAATATTTGCACTTTTTACTAGCTCTACAGTACATAGAACTTTTTGCCATTTTATTTTACATATGAAGCACAAGAGTTGAGAGGCAACCTTCAACCTATTTACGTGCTGAAAACTGTCCGCAGGTCAAATTAATCTTATTAAGTTAATTAAGGGTTCGATTGTGTAACTGAGAGCTTGGCTGGTACAAAAGCCAGCAGGCGTGTAGCCTTTAAGGACCCTGTTTTGGGTGGTTTGGTCTTCTGTCCTCTGTGTTACAAAATCCTGATCATAATCTGTATATGATCCCTGTTAGCTGGACAGTGTGACATTTGCTGTGGGCTAAACTGTGTATGAAGCCCCCGAGCATTCTGTGTCCTCACGCCATTCCTCATTCATGTCATTTCTCCCTACACTGTATCAATGGCTCTGTCCTTGCCTGTTCCCTGACACTTTAATCAGCTTTTGAGTAACTCCCTGCTCCCCCACTGCTTCTGTTGCAGTCCTGGCAGCGCTGACGAGCCCATGACAGCAGGGCTGCCAGGCCAGTGTGAATCGCCCCCTTCAAAGCCAGCTCTCAGTCACGTCGCCCGCCTGCTAGTACCCAGAGCGGACAAATGCCTCATTTGTGGCATTATTCCCAGAAGCTCCTTCCTTCCTGTCCTTGAGCTGAACAAGCTCTGGACCTCTAGGGGCAATACTTCAACATTCCCCTGCCACGTGCCCTGTGGGTTGTACTGCTGCCTAGAGCTTTGCATGGTTTTTACTAGAGGA